GATTGACACAACCAATAAAATCTTTAGAATCAGCTGTGGGGCGGATTTTCCACTGAACTGGATTGCGAGAAAAAAATTGCGCATGCGTGTCATGTGCCTGTTTGTCAATGGGAGGAAGCCACGCCCTATTTTGGAGTTCCCACCCCGTTTGGAGATCTCCAGGCTGCAGTTATACCCAGTTTCAGCGCTGCTCGCGTGACGCTCGTGCTCCACTTGTGAAATTCCTCCAAAGGCGGAGACTACAGCTGATGTTGAGTGGGGGTGGTTTACATATTATTATTATTATTATATATTGGGGCAGTGACAGTCACATCGCGCCGGTATTAGAAACTTGTGTTGTTACATCAAGCGACAAACCGAACAGAACGCTGCTTCTCAAGATGTGCCTCTTGTTCACTTTAATAACCTGTTTTGTCATCACCGCCGGTAAGTTAAGCATTTTAACTTTAGATAGTTCGCAAAGTGATGTCTGTTTGTCATACTTCACGGGTCTTTAAGACACGCGTGGATAAACGTTACCCAGCAGTTAACTAAATAAACATGAATTCATCAGGTGCTGTGAGTGATAATGAGATAGTAAAGGTGAACAGAGGAGAAAGCTTCCCCCTCTTCGTCCGAGCATCTGAGCCGAAGATAGTGAGTCTACGAAAGATACACAGAAACGGGACCCAAGAGGTCTTTCGCTACTGTTCCAGCGAAGAGCAAAAGCATGGATGCAAACCAGTCACCTCGGGAAGATTTTCACACAGCACTGATGAAGAGGACTTCTCCGTAACTGTATTTGCTGCCAGCACCAGCGACGCAGGAGTTTACCGTCTCGAAGTGATCGATGCCAAAAACAGAAGTATCCAGCAGAAGTTCACCGTTGCATTGACCGGTTAGTATCTCACTAATCCCATAAAATACTAAATGAAAATATGAAAAGCTGTAACTTTATTTGGATGGCATTGATGAATGGATCTGACAGCCTATAGCGAACCAGAAGCGTTTGGTTGTCATGCTCTGTGTATGTGTTAAAACAGATTTCACGCATGTTCTGCACTGCGTGTTAAGGGACTTTTCTGGGTCCCTCGGGGTAGCGACTCTGAGGTGTGGAGGTATAGGGTGGGGACGGTGCAGGTCCCACAGCCAAACTTGTGCCCGCGAGCTTTCTCTGATTTCACACCATTAACAAATAACAAGTGGTGGTACTTGGGCTGATGATACATTGAGAATGGGCAACACATTTCTATCTGGGTACCTTAGATCGTGGGCTCTGTGTGTCACTTTAAGACTAAATCAATAAATAACATTATTTGCGGAAAGAGAGCGCAGAAAGGCGTCTCAGGCATTTTGGAGTTTTGACTCCCTGCCAAGTTATTACCCTCCTGAGAGTGATTAAGGTAGGGAAGATTCTGAGTCATATCGCTATACTGGTTTATTATAAACGTGTTGTAGGCTTTATAATCACTGAACACATGCAGAGCACTTTTGGCAAAGCCTGCGTTATTCAGCATGAGGATGGCGCTCTAATGTTGATTGATAGGATTTTTGTGCACATGTAGAATCTTAGAATTCTTTTAATGTGGTATTTATTGCCTCTAAATATTGTTTTAGAAAAGTTGTGGAGGAGTGTGCGTTGTCAGAACAAAAATAAAACACAACAGAGCTATATAAAGGCTAGGCTATTCACATGAGCATGCTTAAAATAAAGGATTTATATTTCATTTGATACGCTACTCCACATAGGAAGAACAGACATGCCATCTAGTTTCTGACCTGATGCAGACTAATTTACACAGAACTGAGGCTGACTGATATTACTTACGTAATATACTAAGTTAACATGAAAATAAGCAGGGCAGTCTCAAATCTGAGCGCCGTGCAGTTCCATTTCTCACCACAGACTTTCACTGGCGCTGTAGAGCTGTACTTGCAGCTATACTATTATCTCACAATTGTGATATTGCATTCATAGCACGTCTGCATTACTTTTCTATCTGTTTCTAAACTGTTTGACCAGTGTGTGTAGATTGTATGTGACACAAGTAAGCATCCAACATACGTAACACATTTTTCAACAGAAAGGACATTTGGTCTGAATTGTAAAAAAATTAATTGGCCGAGCTTATGAATGCAAAGTACACAGTATAAAATACTGTAGTCTCAGTTTAATTTATATAGTGCTTTATTTAGGTTTAAGTATAGCACAGTTGATAAACAAATGTGATTCAGAGTTTTGCATTACATAAAAAAACACTTAAACTAATTTGATGTTATACTATGTATTTTCATTCTATACATCTTTTAAATACTGTTGGTTTATATCAGTAATATGTATTACAGTGATTTCTCTACTATTGAGTTATGTTGTACGCTGTTATTTAAAAAAAAGTGTTTATATGTGATAACATAGACCATGGCATGATGTGACACTGTCTTTACATAGGGTGCAAGATTCTGCACAGTACACCTGTTATGTTATATTATGTAGCTCGTTATGTATAAATGTGCATCCAGTATTTGTTCTAATCTATTAAGGAAGAAAATCTAAAAGGACATATTTACTTTTCCACACCAACTGTGACAGCAGTCTTCCTCAAATGATCTAGCCAACTAGATCGTTTCCAGGACCATAGCAAACATATAACAATGTCTTAGCAACCTGCCTACATTTAATGATTCCGATTTTGTCTCGAAGAAGTTATATCTCGAGTTATTTTTGTCCCATACAGAGCAACTGCCCAGTACCATTAACCCTGAACCTCCATCCACCCATCCACTTTCCACACCTGCTGTATCCACCAAAGGCAAAGAGACACTTGGGACAAATGGCCCAAATACCACAGTCAGCACCGAACAAAATAGCAAAATAACATGGTGCATCATAGGGGGCCTCTCAGGAGTCATTACAGGGGCCATTGTTGTCACTGGTATCATCTGCTATAGAAAGGCAAGTATCATCATTGGTAATTACGCAACACTTCTGTTTTTGTATTAATATTGTAGCACTTAATAACAGCAGTGTTTAGTGAAGACTATGCATACTACTGTGCAGTTTTGTTTTTGGGGAGTTTTTATGTATTTATGTAAATTATTTGTGAAAGACTTGTGAAGGTCCTTGAGATATTTCATTTAAAGTCATAGTAGATCAATAAAATGTCATTATGCACATTGAATTCTGCTTGCATTATATTTTGGTATTGAAAGCTTTGTGCAGTTGCAGTAAAAGGTTGTTGATTAAGATTTTAAATCTCAGAGATTCCATCTCCCTACAGAGGAAGAAAAATAATCATATTGCTGATGATGACACAGAGGATCCGGGGGAAGGCACTCATCTCAACTCAAACACCAATGGAGGTCAGTCCAGCAGATGACACTGGGTTTTGTATCATAAACAAAAATTATGTTTCTTAGGAATTTAACATTTCACAGCCTGCACTAACCTTGCCATGCCAAATTATCATATCTTTTTTAGAAACTTACTGACCTTGGCACACAGGGTGTAAACTGTAAAAAAAAAAAAAAACCCAAAAAAAAAAGGGCCAAATGTGCTGCGTTAATATAAAGGAATTTTCCACTTTTTGTCGCTGCTTTATTACTTATGTTTTTTAAAGAAATAATATTACATGGTTTGGTGTAACATGATGACAAAACCACTCAAGTTTTTGTCAAGATTTGTAGTTTTGTCAGCCAGTTTAAAAAAACTTATTATTTCTTACCATCTCAGGAAGTTTACACCAGGTAGTCAGTTTTGAACCGTTTTTTTTACTCAGTTATTACCATAGATGAATAAATTATTGAATAAACATTACAAATATTGGCTATAGAAGTAAATATATTGTTTTATTTCAATATCTTTGAACTTAATAGTCCTGAACAAAAACTCTCCTTTTTCTTACAATCAGCAGGTGAACCAGCCACAGATGAATCCTTAGAGATTGTGATTGACACAAACTTATCAGTGGACAATGAAGAAGGACCTGAACTTGGAGCTTGATAGGGTGATGATGATGATGATGAAAATGTAAGTACAAGACATTGTGTGGACTCACAAGACAACAAGGGCTGAGCCTGCCATTGTGACATCTCATGCAAGTCACCATCATAGAAGAAGTAGCTCTTCTCTGAGACGAGCTGAACCTCAGATGCTCAACCAGAAAGAAGGTGTGTTTCCATTAAGCATATTTTCAATTTGCAATTTCAATTTGCGCAATTTGAAGGGTAATGGAAATGCACCTAATGATGGTGATTCCCAGCAGACCAGACAGAACCAGAGCCTCAGTGATGCCGCAATGATCCTCATAATCTGAAAGAGAAGAGAGTTATTCATAAACATCTTCTGTGCCATAAAATGTCTTTGTCTGTGTAAACGCAGAAGCTGTGCGTGGAAGTGTATTGTAGTAAATGAGTTCATGTCGGCCTATTTTCCCGTCGTGGGCAGATCTCTTTCATTTGCAGAAAGATACTCTTATTGCTCACTGGGTTTGCAGCCGTGCAGCTGTAGGTCTCTGGATCATTATAATGAAGCTCTAATGCTAAACCGAGGTTGATGCTGAGGTCAGGATTGTGTGTCTGATTCAGCATTTCTCCTCCTTTATACCACGAGATGAACACGCCTCGACCATTTTTCACAGAACACAACACAGAGCAGACCTCCTCCATCTTCTGTGACGTTGATGAACCTAGTGGACATCTGTTGTGTCAGGTTAATTCTGAACCTTTTTTCTTCATATCAAGAAGTTCAAGAAATCAACAGATAGGTCCGTGATTGGCTACACTGCAAAAAACTCTCTGCAAGCAGCTCTCCATAGCACAAACACGAATACGCATTAGAGTTTCGTTTCATTTTGTTGATTATGTTTAGTTTGTTATTTTATGTTGTAGTGTAATTGCTTTCCTGCCTGTGCTTTGCCTTGCTTTGTTGATAGTTTACTGTCAGCTTCTTTTCTTTGTGGATATTTTATAAATGATTATAAACATCTTATTCACATCGGAAACTGTTGGTGGTGGATGTTGTTTCTTGTTCCTTTTTTATTTATTATTATTATTATAAGACAAGGAGGCAGTGTAATTAATTGTATCTTATTTTATGTAGTTGCTTCTTGTGGGACTTGGTTTGTTATATTGATCTTTGCTCATTCCTCAGTAAATGAAAGTGTAGAAAGAGTTTTGTTGTCTTTTCCAGGTTATTTTGCAGCCTTACTCTAGCCAGTGTCATAACATTGTGAAGCAGATGATATAATAATTTTGACCCTACTATCTGAATGGTGCAGCAGAAATTGAGACTCATCAGACTAAGCAAACATTTTCCAATCTTCTATTCCCCATTTTTTTGGTGGGCCCATGCAAATTAAGTGGTGTATAAATAAGGGGTGGGTGAGTGTATATAAACAGTCTCGCCAAAAAAGTTTCCATATGGATTTAATACTGACAAACACTGAAGAGCCTGGATCATTATCACTGTGATTAATATGTTTCTGGCATGTTTTGCAACAATTCTTTTAACCTTAACAAATCCTAAAGTCTTAAGTATTTGCTTATTTAATTCCACCTTTTTTTTTTAGTCTTCTTATATCCATGAGCTGCTGGTTGTGGTCTGCTAAATGAAAAATCAAAAAAGAATGGGGGGGGTCTCACCTTGAGTTTGGTTTACACCAACTGGAGACCTGACGACAGGTACAGAAACAGGCCCTTTAAAAAGACAGTGGCAACATATTTAAACGAGAATTTGCATGGAAAACATAGATGGAAAATCAACAATGTATGCCAGTGAGCACTGGTGACGATTTCAAGGGTCCTAGAACATGATTTTTACCTGGTGCCCACCCCTCACCAAAATTACAATGTCACATGCACATCTGCGACGTCACTTTAAGTGTTTCGCTGTATAGGAGCAAAACACTTAAGTATGGCAAGCTGATTTGACTTTTATTCATTCTCAGGATATGAATTCTCTAGTTAAAATGTAAATTCTTGATATCTGTAATTGTATTTTCACTAGGTAAATGTCACCATAGGCTGCCATTCAAAATCAATTGTGTTGAAATTCCAATTTCACATATCAGAAATACAATTCTTACTAGTAAAAACCTTTATTTTTGATATCAGTAATCACGTGGCTACTAGTACAGATGTCTATTCTTGATATCAGCAATTTAATTCTTGATATGAACAATTTAATTGTCACTAGTGGACAATGTTCAGTGACAATCTGAAGGTTTTCAGTTTCTATGACTTTCATCAGGAAGTGGCACATTGACCACAAGATCAGACGTTACCAACTAGTAGCAAAAAACCTTTCAACAATGAACTGTTATTTAACAGCTTTTATCTTAGTGACTGACACTTTTTAAACTAATATAGACCATAAATCTAGAAGACTAGCAGTCAGATGAAAGCTATCCTGATTCACAGTCTTTATGTAGACACGAGGACAACACAGGACTGGTGAATAAAGCTGTGAAAGCAGGTGAAGTATGTGGAGCAAGACAGAGGGCTCAGATCAGGGTAGAAGGGGTTGAAACTGTTCCTTCTGTAACCTCCATCGTGCAGTTACAAGCAGCCAATACTCTAGGTCCTGAGAAAGACTTGCGGAGAATTTGCCATCAGTACATGCTACTTATTTTTATTTTTTTTAGTTTAGGAGAGTGCTGTCCAGAAAAATGCAGCTTTATGTTCCTATAGCTTAAAGGGGTCATATGATGCGATTTCAATTTTTACGGCGGATCGCAGACTTATAAGTGCATTACCGCCACCTATCTCTCAAGTGGACCATTGACACTCCTAATTGAGATTGTAGATAAGAGTGTCAATGGTCCATTAATTTGGTTTTGTTTGAGTATTTTTTTTACTCCCAAAGCCGTGATTCCCATTCACTTACATTATATGACTGACAGACTGCAACGGTTTGAGTTCAAGAAACAAAGTAACCCATATCTTGGATGCCCTGGGGGGTAAGCAGATAAACATCACAATTTCATTTTTGGGTGAACTATCCCTTTAAGTCACCCAGCACACATATCTTGACAGTCAGAACTCAATGATTTTGAAACTGCTGTGAATCATTCTGATGTCAGCATGCCAGTAAAGATGAAATTAGTAAAAGATGAGTTTTACAGAACATTATCTGAGCGTAGACTGAATGAAACTGTAAGTGAGTACACTGCAAAGTTGTGTCAAGCAGCTTCAGTCACAGTCTCCATGACAGCCAGCAGAGAGCACTCCTCCCGGGTCATTGCCCAGTGCTTGTGGACTTCAGTTCCCATCATCCCTTGCTCTGATTATTGGTCCATTACTCTCAGCTGTGTGTGATTGAGATACTCAGCTCACCTGTATTTATACGCTGTGGTCTGTTTCTTTATTGAGTTCTGTTACCTTGTGCTCATGGTACTTCGTGTTTGCGGGTTCTATGTTTGTGGATTACCTTGTGCGTGTTTTTCACCTTGATGTGGATTACTGTTTTGGGACTACAGTAAAGCTGCGATTGGGTCTTCAATATTGCTGCAAGAGCATTTCATGACAGAATACTGCAGCCATTTCAAGATCCAGCAATTTTGAATCATTTTGGAGTATGGATGTTGGGTAACACCACAACATGGATTGCTATTCGTCTTTTGAAGCATGAACTTGAAGCTTATGTTCAAGGAAATATTTATTTGTCCATCTAACAGGAACATTTAAAATGCGAATTTGTTATAAACTTGAAGCTAAATGACTAAAATTAAAATGTATGACTCTGCAAATACTTTATAGCCTAATAATAATAACCGCAAAAAATGAATGAATTGAATTTTAACAAGGCAAAAGTAATATGAAGGCAGTCATGCATGTGCAGCAACAATATGCATAGTCCTGAAATGCTGTCTTAACAAACATGACTTTTTCTTAATCATGGTTTAGCTTATAATAATATAAAAGGCTATATGCTTAATATGTAGTTCTGCTTGGAACATTGGAACATTGTATGGGGGGGTCCCTGCTCGATGTTTCCTTAACCCTGGAAAAAGGTCGACGACCCTTGATCTAATCTGTAGCGTCTTAACTCCCTGTCATCCATTGTCTGCAACACACTACTTCCTCTTCTTTCGGCTATTTTCTCCTCTACTAAAGAAAATCTTAAGCATCTTAAAAGTCATCCTCCCTACTCCTAGCACTTCTTGATCTTAAGAGCTCTTTTAAGGGTTAAGATGCTTTGTGAATAATTTTTATCTTACTTGGATCTTCTCTTTAATTGTAAGGGGAAATGGCCTCTTTTCTAAGACTTTTCTTAGAATTTTGTCACTAGGAGCAACTCTTTGCACTAAGAATTATCATGAATATGGGCCCAGGCCTGTAAACTGTTTCGGTTTCTTTTTCTTTTTTCTAATGTTTTTTTTTTCTTTTTTATTTATGACCCCACATCAACTAGTAACAATAGAACTCCAGAACAGGTAAACAAGCACTCACCTTTCCGTACATATTCAATTTACACTTAAATAAAATAAAAACAATAAAACAGACTAAATTATACTCTAAATAAATTTATATATATATATATAAAAGATAAGTTAGTGTTTACAATGTTGATAAAAGTCTACACTTCCATTTTACATGATATTCATGTATAGTTCCCAAAGCTGATCAAAGTCTTTCTGCTTGCCCTTAGCAATATAAGTTAGTCTCTACAGTTAAACATCTCCTTTTTCCACATTTTCAACGATGGAGCATTCATACTAGCATAATGCAATGACTCTTCTGGGCTGAAGGAGACGTAAAGTCTAGTAAATCTATTCCAAGAATACAGAGTTTAACGTTCAAAAGAATAGTATTAAACATGTCCGACATTTAATAACCTCTATCCAAAAGTTTTGTATATTTGGACATTCCTAAAGGCAATGATATAATGTACCTTTATCATTCAAATATTTAGAGCACACATCTGAGATGTTAACAGACATATGAAGTTTTAACAGGAGTTCTATAGGTTCTCATTAGCCATTTATATTGAAGTAATTTAAACCTTGTATTTATTTTCTGTGTTTGTGATTTAAGACATGTATCATTACAGTCTGCTTCATCTAGCCTATTTTATGAATTATTTTAACTTGGTTTATAGCCTGACTGCAGTCAATTTATCCACTGCCACAGCCCTCAAAATCAGATTGATTTATAAGATACTACAACAAAATAGTATTACAAAAGTATCCATATGCGCACCATTCTAAATTGTCATTCTAACATTCTTAATTTTTGAATTCATCTAACAATTTTTAAGTATCAAAAATACCTAAACGAAATCATTATTACTCATAAATCTGCCCTCGGCATTTGTTTTCAAATCCCAACTCTGCTTGAACTTAAATTTGGGTTTAATTCCTCACATAAAGCTGTACTGGTTTCAGAAGACTTTGAATAGCAACAAGTTACACATGGCCAACTTTTAGGATACTTTTGATATACATGTGATGCTTTTTGTCCATTTTGAGCTTGAAAACAAGCTTTGACTTTGTGAAATGTTTCTTTTTGTGTTTTATAAATCAAGCATGTTTTAAAAATGACCTTAACTTTTACTTAAATGACCTTTAAGTATTTGAAATACATAAGATTTTTTTTATGTTTTTGAAAGAAGTCTCTTCTGCTCACCAAGGCTGCAATTATTTGATAAGTAATAGAAAAACAGTGAATTCTGTGATTTTAATATTGTGAATTATTAATTTCAAATAATTTTTCTATGTGCATGTATTGTAAAACGTAATGTATTGCTTTGATAAAAGCTCAATTTTCTCCAGTCTTCAGTGTCACATGATCTTCAGAAATCATTCTAATATGCTGATTTGCTGCTCAAGAAACATTTCTGAATATTATCAATGTTGAAAACTGTTTAATATTTTTTGTGAAAGTTGTGATGCATTTTATTTTTCAGGATTTTTCAATGAATAGAAAGTTCAAAAGAACAGCATTTATTTGAAATAAAAATCTTTTGTAACTATAAATGCCTTTACTGTCACTTTTGATCAACTTAGAATCAGAAAGAGCCACGTATTTGCACATACAAGGAATTTGTATGCGTGACAGAAGCTTTCAGCACCCAGAGACAACAACACAGATAATTCATTCAATTCATCTTTACTGAATAAAAGTATTAATTTCTTTAAAAACACCTGAATGACCCCAAACGCTGGTTGTGCGATCAATGCGTTCATTTATTGACTAGGCCTATATGATGTTCTTGCAGGAATACAAGCAGAAACTGGCTCGCGTCACTCAAGTGAAGAAGGAGCTGAAGTCTCACATCCAGAGTCTTCCAGATCTTTCTCTTCTACCGAGCGTCACCGGCGGTCTGGCTCCTCTCCCGTCTGCTGGAGATCTGTTTTCCACTGACTGAACATCTCTGAGACTCACAGACACTGGGCTCCTCCTCACGGACAGTAACATCAGTAATGGAGCGAGTGAGGAAGATCTGCTGTCACCAGCTCAGCTTTCACACGTTTGTTTTTCAGTAGTTCTCATGTCAGCTAAACCTCAGGAGATCAAGCCTGCGAGTCGATCCGTCAGTAAACCAGACTCAGTGTGGAGAGTTTCTTTTGCTGTGGAAAGCAACTCCCTTTGCTTTGTCTTATACCTGTAGGTTTTTAGTTTTATTGCTCAGAGTTTAATGTTGCTTCATTTTGGTTTTTGGAGGAAACTAAACATGAGGATTCAGTTTTAAACACCTCACTGCTATTGACCGAGTTTATAATATCAAGAGAAATTAATTAGAAACTCATGCCCATCATCAGACTGTGATATATTTTGGTTACAAACCTGACCTGTTTTTCTTCAAATGATTATTTTGCTGATAAATACAACAGATTAGCTGATATTTGTGAGAAGAATACAGTGTGATCGCAGTCTCTTCTATGGTCACTGTATGTTTACAGTGTCTCTCATTAAATATGACCGAACACATTCAACAACCAAATGTTTTTTGATATAAGTGAATCTTTGAGATTTGATTTGAATGGATTGCTGTATTATCAGAGGAACATGTGAATGAGATTGTCTGAAATATAAAGTGGCCAAACTCTGTCCAAAACATTTGTTTAATTCACAGATGAGTGGAACATATTTATGTTTATGCTGTTGATCATCACCAAAACAAACCGTCAAACACAGAGAATACTGAAGTGAAGCTTTTTCTAGGTTTCTTGAAAGTCATCATTGTTTACAGATTTAGAATCAGTGACACTATTGAGCTGAAAAGCCATCTTGTGCTCTGTGGCCATTTTGTCTTTCAGATTTTGAAGACCTTTGGCAATTTTCTTTACTTTCCGGACCCAGTTTAGTTTAATGGCTCAGGTACCAGTGAGCTGTTTAGCACAACATGGATTGCTATTCATCTTTTGAAGCATAAAGAACAAACTCATTCTCTTGGTAATATTTTGTTTGTCAATAGGCAAAGTTTTGTTTTGATGTGACTTTGCTGTGGAAAGCAACTCCCTTTGCCTTTTCTTATATCTGTAGGTTTTTAGTTTTATTGCTCCGAGTATAATTTCGTTTCATTTTGGTTTTGGAAAAAAACTAAACATGAGGACTTAGGGTGTGTTCACACTTGTCACTCTGGAGGGATTTCTCTGTTAGTGTGGTTCATTTGAGTAAGTGTGAACACTGCCATCCAAACCCTGGTGTGCAACAAACAAGCGGACCAAGACCGCTAAAACGATGGGTCTCGGTCTGCTTCCAAACTAACTCTGGTGCGGTTTGAATAAAATGTGAACGCAACAAGGACCAAATACTTCTAAACAAACCAAAAACAGAATTTAATGACAATATGCGACGCTATGTGACATGATTTCACGAAGGGAAAAAGTGGTGAATCCAAAACAAAATAAGCAGGCAAACGTGGAGCAACAAGGAGGTAAAAAGTGCGTTTTATGAGCTCTTTGTGAGTTTGCAGTTGGTGAAAATAAAGTTGTATAAGCAACAAGCGAGCGCGCTTAGTCCAGCAGACGGCATGTGTTTGAAACTGCTAAGCAGACCGATCGGTGAATGGGCACTTTGGTGTCATACACCGATTGGACTGCGCAGCGCTGTTTTAAGTTGAACACACCTATTGTTTGGGTATTCGGTGAGTTCTGTCATGAAATATATGTAATTCAACCCGACCAATCAGGTTGTGAACGTATATGACTATGCCTTTAGGTTCGGCATCTTTAGGTTCACTGTCAAAAACAGTATACATTGTTGGGAAGTCGTGGCCTAATGGTTAGAGAGTTGGACTCGTAACCTAAAGGTTGCGAGTTCAAGTCTCTGGTCCGGCAGGGATTGTAGGTGGGGGGAGTGAATGTACAGCGCTCTCTCCCACCTTCAATACCACGACTGAGGTGCCCTTGAGCAAGGCACTGAACCCCCAACTGCTCCCCACAGCATGAATGGCTGCCCACTGCTCCGGGTGTGTGTTCACTGCTGTGTGTGTGTACTAAGGATGGGTAAATGCAGAGCACTAATTCCGAGTATGGGTCACCATACTTGGCCACATGTCACTTCACTTTAAAATGCCAGTGTGAACGCTAAGCGTGTAATGATACAGAACCAAATGTCCAGACCCAATGAACCAACGAACCAAACTACAAGTGTGAACACACCCTTAAACACCTCACTGCTAATGACTTATTGATATGAAGAGAAATTAATCAGAAACTCCAATGTTCAAGCTCATTATCAAACTGCGATATATTTTGGTTACAAACTGTAACTGTTTTTCTTCAAATTATTATTTACACGGGCCCCCCTTTCTTTTGCTCCGTTCTGCGATCCATGGTGAAAACCAAACAAAGACTGACTAAGGTCTGACTAAATGACAGAACTTTCTCGAACTTCCGCTCGTTGTTGGTAAAGTCCCTAATGGAGGTACGTTTTCCACCACGTTACCTGATTTGCCCTCACCACAGGTGAGACCGGGTGTTGTGAATTTCAGCCAATCAGAAACATAAAGAGGTGGAGTTTAATGCAGACAGGGACCAATCAGGTAGCACGTTCCAGTACCTATACGTGAGCTTTGGCACAACACCGTCACAGAAGCTAAACACTATCGAAGGATGCGCCATTTTCTGTTGGTTCTCCTCATCTCAAGTGAGTATAATAGGCCTATTTGACAGCAGATGCGGTTCTAGACCTTTCTTTGTGTGTTTTAAGCCCCCACTGTCTGTCGTCTCAGTCCCCCTAAAACTATAATCAGCTGTCTGAACGATCGGATCAGTGCTGCTTCCTCTAAAAAAGATTTCACGTGTTTTTTAAGAGTTTTCAGTGTAAACATTAAAATGATTTTAAGCCATTCAATCGCAAGTAGTGCTAAAGACAGTTGAAGTAACTAGGGCTTTGTGATCGTTTAGTTCGCTTACACAGAAGACCGCTGTTCTGGAATATGCGTTGTCATGCTGCTATCATATTCTTCCGCGTTTTGTCGCGTTCAAGTGCTTTGTTGTTGGAAAGAACAAGAATCATTCTTGTTTACTGGTTGTGAATCTTATTAAAGCCAAAATACATATTTAGTCAATATCGAACATGTTTTGAATAAAATGTAGCGTCCCATTAATTGGTAACCATATACAGGTTCACCGGTCGCAGTAAAGTTAGCTTGCGGTTTGATACTGAGATTTCGTCTGGCTATAAATCCACAGTGCCCTGTCTTGGATATGCAAACAATATCGCGTGTCATTCATCATGATTTGTAAATTCAGTGACGCGGTCCTCCTGTCAGAAATAATTTTTTTGTTACTCTTAATATAAATTATATACGTACACACACACACAATTACAAACAGTTATGTAACGAAGCCTCGTTCACTGAAATCATTTTGGTTAGTTAACCCTTCCCTGAGTATTTAATTTTCACTATTCTCATTTGTGAAAGTTTTCACAGTGCATTTTTGGTCCGTTAACCCTTAGTCCTTTTCCTTTGTCAAAAAAACTAAATACAGTCCAGACTTGCCTAACTCCCTAATCCAAAAACAGTGTAAAAAGATGTGCACAATAAAATGTCGTCAAACCCCCTACATCCCTTAAATTGGCAAACACATACACGAATATTTACAGAAAATGTCCATAGTAAATCGTGGTCAATCAGGTGTGGGTCAAGTTAACAATTAGTATAGCAGATTGGAATCACAAAATCACACATACACTTGTGATTTTAAAATAATCACTCACAATCTCTCTGGTACAACACTAAGACGAAACAAACGATACAGCAGTGGCTATGAGCTACACAGTCACACTCTGACACAATAATAACAGAGGGTGAGTGTTTGGGGCGGTCCTTGTATTATGGTCGGGTGATGAGAACCAATCGCAGCCTCCAGCAAATTATCACAAGGAACCGCCCACCTGTAACACAAACATGTACATACACATACACAGAGACAATATCAATGAATAAAATCAATGGACTGATTACTCATAACAGGTTCACAGTACATTTGTGGTCCATTAACCCTTCCCTGAGTGCTTAACTTCACTATATTGATTTGTGAAATGTTTTAAAGTACAGTTTTGGTCCGTTAATCCTTCCATGAGTCCTGGAAATCAAAATTCTTATTTGTGAAAGGGTTCATAGGTACAGTTGTGTTCAGTTAACTCTTTCTAGAGTGCTTAAAGGGATAATTCACCCAAAAATGAAAATTCTATCATTAATTACTCGCTTTCACGTTGGTCCGAACCCATAATGCCTCTGTTCATCTTCGGAACACAAATTAAGATATTTTTGATGGAATCTGAGAGCTCTTTGACCCTCCCATAGACAGCAAGTGTCCTTACACGATCAAGGTCTAGAAACATAGCAAGGAGATTGGTAAAATAATCCATGTGACATCAGTGGTTCAACCATAATTTTATGAAGCTACGAGAATAATTTTTGTGCGCAAAAGAAAACGAAAATAATGGCTTTATTCATGTTGATACTCCAAAATGGCGCCAGGGTGACGCAGAGACGACAAATTATTGTATGAAGTCGTTTTTTTTTTTCTTTTGCACAAAGTATTCTCTTAGCTTCTTAAATTATGGTTGAACCCCTGATGTCACATGCATTATTTTACCGATGTCCTTGCTACGTTTCTAAACCTTGATCGTGTAAGGCCACTTGCTGTCTATGGAGGGTCAGAGAGCTCTTGGGATGCATCAAAAATATCTTAAAGGGGTCATATGATGCTTTTTTTAAAGATCATTATTTTGTGTATTTGGTGTAACAGAATATGTTGACATGCTTTAATGTTCAAAAAACACATTATTTTTCAAATACTGTACATTATTGTAGGTCCTCTATGCCCCGCCTCTCTCAAACGCTTCGTTTTCTACAAAGTCCCTCCTTCCGACAAGCGCAGTCTGCTCTGATTGGCCAGCTGACCCAGTGCATTGTGATTGGTCGAACACCGCAAGCACTCGTCGGAAATGTAACGCTCCTTACCATAATCGCGAGCTTCATCTTTCAAAATAAATGTAAAGACAGAGCCCGAAAGGGGAACAGAGTCGCGTGACAGACACAGTGATGAAGCTGGTATGTGTTTGCAGTACACAAGCCACGGTTAAGACAGCTGACTCCACTGTGATGTGACTACACTTTCTTTGCGTGCACATTTGGGCACATTATGCTAATATTGCCACATAGTGAGGTAGATATGTGGGGGCGTGTTAGAACGAGCCGTTTTAGGGGGGCGTGGCAGAGTCTTAAATTTGATAAAGAATATCTCTTTGGTTTTGAGACTTTAGGCTTTGCAACTTCAGGGATCTTATCTATGCACAATCAGCTTGTAACACTGACAAGAGAAAGGAAAATCGCATCATATGACCCCTTTAAATTGTGTTCCGAAGATGAATGGAGGTATTACGGGTTTGGAATGACATGAGGATGAGCAATTAATGACAGAACTTTCATTTTTGGGTGAACTAACCCTTTAACTTTACTATTCTGTTTTGTGAAAGGTTTCATAGTACAATTTTTGTTAACCCTTCCCTGACTCCCTACCTTCATTCTAATTTGTGTGAACTTTCACAGTGCAGTTCTTGGAAAGTTAACCCTTCTTTGAGTTCTTGACTTCACCATACTGATTTATGAAACCATTCATACTGCAGTTTTGGTCTGTTAAACCTTCCCTAAATCCCCGACATTGCTATTGCTTTGTGGAAACTTTCACTTTCAAAAATGTACTGGGAAAGTTTTAACAAATCGCAGCATTAAGGGAAGGACTAATGCCTTGTCCAAATCCCCACACTTGTGGTCTTGGCCACTTGAGAGCACGTGCCCGTGACAGGAAGCAAGTGTGCAAGACTGTCCCAGGTCTTCAAAATGCCGAAGCGCAGTGCCCTGAAAGCACACTAAATCCACACTATCTGAAATACCGCTCCGGAGCGGTATTCGAGGTTTAGTGTATCCCATCATGCATCATGTTCTGGAAATAAATCGTGAGACTTTTTGCCAAAATCGCGAGAGGTCACGGAAACCTTTTCAATATAAGTTAAATATTAATAATAATTAGATATTACATATATTTTGGTAGTAAAACAAAGTGCTACACGTTTTATTGGTGCAAAGGTGAGTATTTATTTTGTACATTATTTGCAACTGCTTTTTATCACTTAATTAGAAGCACCAGAAATTAAATTGTCATCGGTTATAGGGACTACTGAACAGACATTTAGAAGTTTATTTTAAAATAAAAATTAAAACATTTGCCTTTTTACAACACTATAAGTGTGTCCCATCAGGTAATGAAAAGTTGTACACACACTTGTGGTCTTCATCCTCACTTGAACATTTGGGCCAAATACAGGAAATACGTCATAGACAAGAGTCAAGTGATCAAGTGCAAAGACCTCAAGTGTGGGTATTTGGACAAAGCATGTTTCCAAAACTGCACTGTGAAAGGTTTCACAAATCAGAATAGTGATGTCGAAAGACTCAACATAGGGTAACTCACTAAATCTGTACCGTGAAATATTTTATTATAGCTGATTAAACAAATTCTTTGGACTGCTGGATTAATTGGCACAGCTACCTTTACATTATCACATGAGAAGAGAACAGAGCAGTGGAAAATGCTAAAACGATGGCTTCATCTAAAAAAGTGGTTTAGTATGGAACGATATTCCGGACAATTTTCAAATAGAATAGCAAATTGTATTTTCAATTGCGTTTTCAATATGTGGACGCATAAATTGTGACAATCCAAATGCATTAGCGTTTGCATTTTCGCTTTCGCGAACGCAGTGACTGCCAAATTTCAAATGAAAAAGCAAAGTCCATTTGCAGCTGTATTTCCCATGTCTTAGGAGTTACGAGCCTGTCATATTTAAATAGCAATATTAATTACCACGTCTGCTTTTTCACTCTCACTGCGTCGCGCATGTAACCTGCCAAAACTCAAATGAAATCGCAATTCCTTTTGCATTTGAATTTCCGATGGCTCCACATTTATGGGAAATAGCCATCAAACATGAACGCCTATTGTTCACATTCCTGATTAGCGGACTTAGAGGTTGATGGATATTGTTGTGAAAAAATTCACAAATCACGTAGGTCAAGATGGCACTGGTTTCAGTCTAATTGTTCAATGTTTGAAACTACACGCATTATAAAATTGTCACAACAAAAACATTGATTTCGGACCAGAGGACTGAGTCACCTGAATTCGTATATATTGCATTCTAAGACCGCCCAATATGATTTAATAACCAACTGAAATCTGGGTCTGTATTCTTAAAGCTTCTAAGAATAGTCTCAGAGAGCTCCTAATTTAGCTTAAGATTTTCTAACTAGGAATCTCAACTTTGGTTCAGGACCAATCTGAGAGCAACTCTGAGCCAGGAAAAGACACAAACTTTCATCTTAGTGAGGAGGTGGGGCTGACCATCAAATGTTTATACGTAAATATGCATGACTGTAGCAGCAAGAGAAAGCAATGTAGATGTTGTAGGAAAAACAAATAAAACTGGTCAGTACTACAGTAATGTTTCTCTTTTCTGCTATGTTTATTTAAACGGTAGATTGTGTCTGGTTCATGATTGATGTAATGATTTGCCTGAGGTTAATATTTAACCATGTGATGCACTGTGATTCAGATTGAAATCATTTAGACTCAAATGTGTTCAAGTTGTGAAATCAGCAACCTTGCAGTGCTTTCAATGTTTTAGTTCTATTCTACACGCTTATAATAAGTAAATGTTTAACATTTTAATAACAAATGGCTAAAATAGACCATTCCGTAATTTGTACATTTTCATGTCAAACATAGAAGTTACTCATGGGAGTAGTTGCATTTTGCTGAATAAAGAGAGCAACTGATTCTGTGTTAGTTTTATTCACATATTTAGTAAAGGCATGACACAAAATGACATTAACAAAACACCTGTATATAAATAATATACATGGGCCATGTTAAAAAAAAAAACTCAAATGACTAAGCTTTACATACACAAGTGTCTACTATTAATGCTGTATAGGAATTGATCAATACAAACCAAGCACATGAGGATTTCTGTGGTAAGTAATACCTCCTATGTATCTGAAACCTGGAATATAATCAAAAAGGGCAAACAGGACCATGAACAAACTCCATGAAATCAGTCTAAAGGTTGGGAGAATTATTTATATAAATTATTTTTTTCCAAGTTGATGGACCCACATTATTTTTACTTGTTGAATAGGCCATTCCAGGATGACCCACATGGTTTTAATATTACGAGAAGATCCACCAATATGTTATGTCAAAATGCAATAACTTTTTTTTTTTAGGCGGGGGAACTTAATGTTTTAGAAAGGCAAGTAAATATCTGATCTACTGGCCCAAACAGTCTAGCGGTCCTTATGTTGAGCCCGGAGTTTTATTATTTTTTTTAAAGCATTTTGTCATTGTATCTGAATATCAACATCTGTGAAATTTAGTCAGTCGAAACTGTTTTAGCTCCCTGAAAATAGTGATCTATTGTGTTGAATATCAAAGATTTTTTTGCATCTGTTTGTTAATGAGGGATTTGTGGACATCAATATTTTTAGATTTGTGGTGTAAATGTTCTATTTTTTTTTTTTGAAGTAAAAAGATGAAACGGAGGGTTATTTAATATTTCCATGAATTGGATGCACATCTTCACTTTCACTAAAACCTTTAAGTTAGCCTAATTGAGGAAAAACATTAAGTTTGCATTCATAGGGTGACTATTATGACATCAATTAAATATGTAAATATTCCTATGCCTGTATCCAAGCCATAGAATAATTATACCTTTCAGATGAGTCTCTTCTACTGGGATTCTGCTTTGTCCGTTACTGGTTATTAAATTATTCAACTAAATTGTCGAAATAATTTTAAATAGAATTGTTGATTTAGTATTTTACATTAATGACACATTAAAAATATCAGTATTCATACATTCTGTAAAAGTTAAATTTAGCTGTTATGAAAAAATTGTAAAATCTATGTTCTATAAAGCTCAGTTGCAGCTGATGCATCATCATCCTGCACATGCTATCTTCCCCATCTTACTCTCTCACATGTCCTGGAATAAAGATGGGACTATGGCCTTGATTTGTCTTTGATTACTGAATATTGGTATAATGTGAAATGAAGTGAACATATGATATTGTGTGAGATGGTAATGACATTTTTTTTTATATTTGTAGAAAAAGATGGGCCTTGGACTTGCCAAGAACAGTTATCTAGCAGTCTCTGAATGTATAAAAATAGGACACATTGACAAATTTAAATATTTAAAACTATTTTGGTTACACTTTACTTGAAGGGGTGTGCATAAGACTGACATGACACCTTCATAATCATGACATGTCTTGAATATGAAGGAGGTTTTATGCATGTTTATGACAACTGTCATTAAGTGTCATTCACTCAGTTATGTAATTTTTAATGCAAAGATGACATTGTTTGAGATGTCTTTGTTATGGGCTATGGTTAGGGGTAGGGTTAGGTCAAATAATGTCATTTGCATTAAAAATGACATAACTGAGCGAATGACACTTAATGACAGTTGTCATAAACATGCATGAAACCTCCTTCATATTCATGACATGTGTCATGTCATGATTATGAAGGTGTCATGTCAGTCTTATGCACACCCCTTCAAGTAAAGTGTTGCCACTATTTTACAACGACAACCAAAAAAAGTCTCTTTACATGCAATGGCCCAAAAAAGCATTTGCACACTTGACCACAATTTAAAATGCATAATTGCATTCCATTAAAATATTAATTCAAAGTCTGGAATCACGATTTTTTTTTTAATTAAATGTAAATTTGCAAAGAAATTAGCTAATACTTTTACTCCACAATTAATTAAATTGGTCAAAAGATTTCTATTTCAAATAAATACTGTTCTATAAGCTTCCTGTGAATCATGAAAACTAATCATGATGAATCATTTCTAACACGGTTTCCACTTTCATTAAGCAGCACAACTATTTTCAGCTGTCATAATGATAATTAAAAAAAATTCTAAGCAGCCAATCATATTAGAATGATTTCTGAAGGATCAAGTGACACTGAAGACTGAAGGTGTGCGACTTCAAGCGGCGCTGCGCAGACAGTTCGGCGTTTGACAAAGTATCGCGATAGCGATTCGAAAACTTAAGGAGCCATCTACTCTCGCGGTACTTTGATGTCAAACACCGATCGGTGGTCGGCGCTGCAACCTTGAACATAACTTGGAACAATGGAGGTCTTTACGGTTTAAAATGATGATAAAATGTATTTCAACAAACTATTTTAAATAGTTATTTCACAATATTAGCGTTTTTGACTATTTTGATAAATGCATTATCGAACAAAGTATCTTGATCTTATCTTTTAGTAGAAATCTTACATTTTGAAGGGTAACTTGTGTGTATAGTATCAATCCAACTGAAATCAGTGTAGACCAGGGGTGTCCAAACTCGGTCCTGGAGGGCCGGTGTCCTGCAAAGTCTAGCTCCAGCTTGCCTCAACACACCTGCCTGGAAGTTTCTAGCATGCCTAGTAAGAGCTTGATTAGCTGCTTCAGGTGTGTTTAATTAGGGTTGGAGCTAAACTGCAGGACACCGGCCCTCCAGGACCGAGTTTGGACACCCCTGGTGTGGACAATAGTTGAAGGTTGCGCTGCTGTAGCCTAATGTTACACAAAGGGAATGTCATGGACGACAACACAAAACGTGCATAACTGTTATGAAAAGGTAAACTACAGTTTAGGCATACTTCAGCGAGACGCTGAAACTATAGTTAGCCCTTATGAAAATACACATACGGTATAAAATGTCGTATCTGATGTTTGACTTAAAGCGGCTTTGGAACTCGCCCCGCTCCGTTTTAGCTAGCTGCTAGCCTACTAATGCACCTGCCGTGCGTCTGTTTTGCCACAGTTTGGAGCTTCAGTGACAATAGAATCGCACGTAGCCGCTAATAAAAGATTTTTACTACTACATCAAGAGACGAACCGAGCTAAACTCATGAAAATACGCCGCTTCTTCACGCTCATAACCTGTCTTGCACTCACCGGTAAGTAAAGCATCCTAGCGCTTAGCTCTCCGTGTTGATGCCGGAAACCGGAAACGCAAGCTTGGAAAATAATATCGTGTGTTCCAAGTTTCATCACTGCCCTGTGAATTGGTATCACGCACTAAAGACGGTCTGACTAATAGAAGTTCGGCGGGTTAAAAATAAAGAATTACGCGCTGAATTAAAAGCGCGATTGGAGTGTTGCGGTAAGGTGAAGTAGATTACATATTTTTACATTTAGGATATATTTATCATCTGTTATAAACTGTTCTTTAAAAAGACGCCAGAGAGCGTAACAATTTATTACGACCGTGGTGTGTGCAGAAATTTCGCGAGTGCAAAATCTAGTGAGACGTGTTTTTTTGTTGTTGTTTTTTTTTTTAAAGGTGTAAATACGTCACTAAGCAATAAAATATGTATTTTATCAGGTGCCGTGAGCGACATGACAGTGGTTGTAAAAAGGGGGGGGAATGTCACCCTATCAGTCAAAACGCCTGAAATGGTGGATGTCAACCGAGTGACGCTGCTGACACTTTACGAAAACGGCACACAAGTTCCCATCTTCCGCTACTGTTCTATCAAAGAGAAGAAAAGGGGGTGCCCCGCCATCGGCAACGACAGATTCTCACTCCAGCTTAGACGAGAGAATGCTTCTGTAATCATTCTTGATGCCTGTGCCGCTGACTCAGGAGCACACATTGTGGAAGTGATCGGGAACTACACGATCAAGGAAACGTTCAACGTTGTATTCACCGGTTAGTAATCTTGAATGCTGTGAAAATGTATTGATGATATAACTTTATTTGGGCATGAAGAGTGAATGTGACATAATAAAAAAAAAAAAAAAAAAAAGCAATAAAACTTTGGAATCTTTTTTTTTTTTTCTCTCATCAAAAATAATTGTAGAGTCTTCTGGTGACCCGTCCTTCAAAATCAGCCCACCACAAGACTTCAACACAGTTGTCATCATAGGAGTCTTCGCAGTGTTAATCATAGTGGTCACTGTTGTCAGCGTATACTTCTATAAAAAGGTAAGTATTATCACACAAAAATGTAGCAACAGGTCTGTTTTTATAACACTTATTAACAGCAGTGATCATATATTTTTACAGTGCAGTTTAGTGTGATTTAAATCTCGCATCCCTCTACAGAAAAACTGGAAGAAATTTGATTTCCTTGACTGCACAGTGGATTCAGAAGTGGCGGACAGTCGATCAAGCATCACTGGAGGTCAGTCCCCTAGACTTGATGTCCTTGGGTTTTGTATCATGATCAACAAACATTATTTTAATTGGGATTTAACAATTTACAACATGCGGCAAACTAGACCTTAAATTGATTAGATATTTTTAGGAAACTTTCTGACACTGACAGACAGTCATAAGGGTCAGTGCTTTAGTTTTTCAAATATTTAATACAAAACAGTTTCATTATTTGAGTGTTTTTAAAAGACCATATTAAAACATTAAGGCTTTTGACAGATTTGCCTTTTGAGATTTGCAATGTCGACATTTTCTTTATTCGAATTGTGGGATAATTACAGTTTTTCTAGCCCTTTTAAAAAAAGTGTCAAAATTAATTGTAATTCAAAAATATTCTTCACAGAGATGCATTCTGTATGAATATGGGATTACATTTGTGTCAGTTAAAATGAATGTAATTTTTCAAGAAACTTAAGAAAATATAAATTGAAACTGAATAAAATGTCTTTGAAACTGACAAAAAAGTAAATGCAGGCAAAATCTTTGACTTCGTTTTTAATACACTGCATGTTTTGCAACTGTTTTCTCTTCTTTCATTAGCTGATCTGTACTTACAAATGCGCTCCCAGAGTTTATTTAAGCTTCTGAAGATTTCGTTCGCCATTCTGACACATCTCTCGTGGGGGCGGGGCTAGCAGCAGTGTGTTCTCATTGGCTACTGAGTTTTTCATTGACAGCTTCTTGACCTGGAAGCGAAGGCGTCAATGTTGCCTTGCCAGAATGCCAGTGTGGATGTGAGCGTCTGTTAGCGGCTTCCAATTTCATTTTAGTGATATGAAGTTAGGAGTTTTGTTTTTGAATTCAATCTGTATTTATCTGTTGCTACTCTGTCAACATAAGCTTTTTTTTTAGGAGCGCGAGGAATCAAACGTGAGAGAAAAAGGTCATATTGAGGTTTAATTATTAAAGTGCTGTGTATATAATACTGGAAATATTGTATAATGTCCAATGTTCTTGTAGGATATTTGTTTATTGCTCATGATTATTTTGCATTGTAGGGTCTAATTAGGTTGTGCCGTTACATTTGAAATACTATCATATATGTGTGATATATTCAGACCTCAAGAAAGTCTCTCTCCAACCAGGCAATCAAGCTCATTTTATTACATATTCCACACAAAGAATGTTCTTGCAGCCAATTGTTTTATCATGCTGATAATTTTTAGTTATTTTATTTATTTAACATTATCATCTAACGTTTAAAATTGGAAATACATTTTAACAATCATCAACTCTTTCAAGTGTGACTTTTAAAAACCAGTTTTAATGAATGTAAATGAAAATATGAATTAGTTCAAATTGGGGGAAGTTGTGGCCTAATGGTTAGAAAGTCGGACTCGTAACCCAAAGGTTTTGGGTTCGAGTCTTGTACCGGCATGGCTTGTAGGTGGGGGGAGTGAATGTACAGCGCTCTCTCCCACCTTCAATACCACGACTGAGGTGCCCTTGAGCAAGGCACTGAACCCCCAACTGCTCCCCGGGCGCCGCAGCATAAATGGCTGCCCACTGCTCTGGGTGTGTGTTCACGGTGTGTGTGTGTTCACTGCTGTGTGTGTGCACTTTGGATGGGTAAATGCAGAGCACTAATTCCAAGTATGGGTAACCATACTTGGCCACATGTCACTTCACTTAAATGTACATTCTTTATTGTCACTATAGCATATACAGAAGTATCAAAGTGAAAGTATTGGATGCAATTATGTTGTGACAGGAAAGACCAGAATCCACTGCATAGTATACATGTAATGCACAGTATTCTCATAATTTACATCACAACACAAAATGCACAATAACATAATATACAGAATGTTCACAATTCACAATATGTTTAAAACTGCAATGATCCTTTGAACAGTTGCTGTTACAGTATAAGTTACAAAACAGTGAATGAGTATGTTATGTAATGGAGTGCAGTATCAGTCTTTATAGGAATATTCCACCCCAAAAAATGAAAATTCTCTAATTTACTCACCTTCATGCCATTCCAGATGTATATGACTTTCTTTCTTGACATAAACACAAAGATTTTTAAGAAAATAATCTATCTCTGAGAATCCACATAACACAAGTTAACCCATGCATGTATGACAGTTGATCGGAAGTGATTGTTAATAGCCAAAAGTTTAAATTATTAGTGTTTTTCTTATCTGTTGCTTCACTTCAAAAGATACTGATTCAACCATTAAGGTCAGATGGATTACTGTCACGGTAGCTGTGTGTGGTTTTTAAAGCATCTTTAGGACTCACAGAGATGGATTATTTGCCTAAAAATCTTAATTTGTGTTTACCTGTCCAGTCGAAAAGAAAGTAATATGCATGAGGGTGAGTAAAATATATATTTTTTATTTTTGAGTGAACTATCCCCTTAACAATCATATGCTGTTGGTATGCTAATCCAAGATCAGCATAGACTAATACGAATAAAGTGCAACCTCTTCTGAACTGTGTTTGTTTTAATCTAGAGCTCCAAAGAAATTAAAATATTTGCATAATATCAGGTGTCTGAAGATCAAGATCCCAGTCATTCAAAGGTGATGTGTCTGAACAAAGTAAGAATCTTGTCTGATGGGGGCAGTGGATCTCTGGTACTACCACTACATCCTCTGGGTCAGCATCAGAAGTTTGTTTATGGAAAAGTTGCTTCGTTCCCTGGAAATTAAGAAAGGACATGTATTATAGTCTAACAATACAAACTGCTTTGAACTCCCATTAAACATTTCAAACTTAAAATATTTCAAACAAATAAACACACAATATAATTATTTATATACTGTATATAAATATATACAGTCAAATCTGGACACAGAAAAAGCATGGTAAAAAGGCTTTACATTGCTAAAGTTGACAGTGCAGTGATGGACAGCGCGCTTGTAAAATGGCATCGGTTATTGTCAGATACAGTATATTTAGTACTGTACATTATGTGCTGGGGGAAAATATGATCCAATTGAAGAATGTAACCAGGTCCTGTAATGATTGGGCTAAATCAAGAAAACTTACCACAAGTAACCTATCCAAATAACAACGATGATTGATGTCTATTGCTATTCCTAAGAAACCATCTCAACAATGTAGTGTAGCAGCAGATAAATACTGATAAAATAATAATAAACAAATCTTTATCTTTTTATATCATTAAAATGAAATTGGAAGCTGCTAACAGATGCTCACTTCCAGGTCAAGAAGCTGTCAATGAAAAACTCAGTAGCCAATGAGAACACACTGCTGCTAGCCCCGCCCCCACGAGAGATGTGTGTCAGAATGGCGAACGAAATCTTCAGAAGCTTAAATAAACTCTGGGAGCGCATTTGTAAGTACAGATCAGCTAATGAAAGAAGAGAAAACAGTTGCAAAACATGCAGTGTATTAAAAACGAAGTCAAAGATTTTGCCTGCATTTACTTTTTTGTCAGTTTCAAAGACATTTTATTCAGTTTCAATTTATATTTTCATAAGTTTCTTGAAAAATTACATTCATTTTAATTGACACAAATGTAATCCCATATATGAATTGCATTTTTATGTATTTTTGGTAAAGTTGTCGATCGTTGTAAACATTTTTTTTTCTGAATTATGCTCAAATAAATATATTGTTTGTTTATTTCCATGTAGTTAATAATAACCTAACTTTAATAGCCCTGTACAAATTTGTCACTTTACTGACATAAGTACTAATAGTGCAAAACTCTCTCTTTTTCTTATAATTAGCAGATGAATGTGACACAGACGCATCCTCTGAGGAACACTGCTTGGTAGAGAAGGAACCAGAAGAACTTGACAGCACCCATCCAGATGCACTTAAATTAATCAATAATAATAATAATGATGATGATAATAATAATGATAATAAAGATGTTGTTATATATATAAATAAACAATTGTTATTTATATGAAAGTTTGATGTAGTATCCTTATAATAATAATGTTATGAATATAAATATAAATATATAATTGTTATTATTTGAATAAAGTTTAGTTAAGTTTGATGTATATTTATAATAATAATAACAATCTTTGTATTCGTTTTTATTACATTTTAAAAATAAATTTCCTTGCTCTTGCATTGCTTGCTATTGTTGTTTGATCTTATGATTGTTGGGTTTGTAGAATATCTTAAATGTGAGATAAATGGGAATATATGAAGCAGTTTCGATGATAACAACACTTGCTGTATTTGTGCTGGTCAGACGAAGTCAACTAAAGTCACTTAAGATTATTCATCATATTTTCATGACTTAGTCTTCAGCTTTCTGCTTGAACTTCGCTTCCTCTGTCAAACTCTCAGGCTGATAAAAGACTTTTAGTATACCAGAGAACACCGTTTTATTAACCGATTTTTGGTTTTGGATAAGACAAATCAACACCTGAAAGTTGTTTTTTTTGTGTCAGTGTCCACTCAATAGGAAATTTCTTTGATTTTTGAAGCAGCCACAGAAAATGTCAACATTGTGTTCTGCTCTGTAATGAGTGGATAAATATGGGCAGTTTCCATATTTCATATTTAGAAGGGGACAAACATCCCTTTTTTATATTTAATTTTTTTAAGGTTGTCAGTAATAGGTGATCAGTTTTCAGATCTTTCTCCCTGAACATGAACTTCAGTGTCAAAATGCTAATACTTTATGGCCCTGTCCCAAATGGTGCCCTCAGTTTATACCTTCAGCCTCATTGCCAACAGTTCTCGTAGCCTTCCATCCCCATCATGTTTTTGGCCAATGTGACGTTTAATGAAAGTACCATGATCATCAAGCAAAAGCAGCTCTTTGCTGAAATGAGCAGAACCTCAGATGCTCAAACAGAAATACAACGGTGGAGATTCACAGCAGACCAGACAGAACCAGACGAACCACAGTGATCCAGACAATCTGAAAGAGAAGATAAATCATATAGATTTAAAGTTATTCGTAAATAGTACTGTCATTCAGTGGCTTTGGCTTTGGTTATTGTGGCAGGATGAGAGTTCTGTGGTAAATGTAGTTTGACTTCTCGTACCTTCCTGTCCCAAACAGATCTCTTTCATGTGAAGATGGACAGTCTTATTGCTCACTGGATTCACAGCGCAGTGTATTAAAAACGTCAAAGATTTTGCCTGCATTTACTTTTTTGTCAGTTTCAAAGACATTTTATTCAGTTTCAATTTATATTTTCATAAGTTTCTTGAAAAATTACATTCATTTTAATTGACACAAATGTAATCCCATATATGAATTGCATTTTTATGTATTTTTGGTAAAGTTGTCGATCGTTGTAAAAAAAAGTTTTTCTGAATTATGCTCAAATAAATATATTGTTTGTTTATTTCCATGTAGTTAATAATAACCTAACTTTAATAGCCCTGTAAAATTTGTCACTTTACTGACATAAGTACTAATAGTGCAAAACTCTCTCTTTTTCTTATAATTAGCAGATGAATGTGACACAGACGCATCCTCTGAGGAACACTGCTTGGTAGAGAAGGAACCAGAAGAACTTGACAGCACCCATCCAGATGCACTTAAATTAATCAATAATAATAATAATGATGATGATAATAATAATGATAATAAAGATGTTGTTATATATATAAATAAACAATTGTTATTTATATGAAAGTTTGATGTAGTATCCTTATAATAATAATGTTATGAATATAAATATAAATATATAATTGTTATTATTTGAATAAAGTTTAGTTAAGTTTGATGTATATTTATAATAATAATAACAATCTTTGTATTCGTTTTTATTACATTTTAAAAATAAATTTCCTTGCTCTTGCATTGCTTGCTATTGTTGTTTGATCTTATGATTGTTGGGTTTGTAGAATATCTTAAATGTGAGATAAATGGGAATATATGAAGCAGTTTCGATGATAACAACACTTGCTGTATTTGTGCTGGTCAGACGAAGTCAACTAAAGTCACTTAAGATTATTCATCATATTTTCATGACTTAGTCTTCAGCTTTCTGCTTGAACTTCGCTTCCTCTGTCAAACTCTCAGGCTGATAAAAGACTTTTAGTATACCAGAGAACACCGTTTTATTAACCGATTTTTGGTTTTGGATAAGACAAATCAACACCTGAAAGTTGTTTTTTTTGTGTCAGTGTCCACTCAATAGGAAATTTCTTTGATTTTTGAAGCAGCCACAGAAAATGTCAACATTGTGTTCTGCTCTGTAATGAGTGGATAAATATGGGCAGTTTCCATATTTCATATTTAGAAGGGGACAAACATCCCTTTTTTATATTTAATTTTTTTAAGGTTGTCAGTAATAGGTGATCAGTTTTCAGATCTTTCTCCCTGAACATGAACTTCAGTGTCAAAATGCTAATACTTTATGGCCCTGTCCCAAATGGTGCCCTCAGTTTATACCTTCAGCCTCATTGCCAACAGTTCTCGTAGCCTTCCATCCCCATCATGTTTTTGGCCAATGTGACGTTTAATGAAAGTACCATGATCATCAAGCAAAAGCAGCTCTTTGCTGAAATGAGCAGAACCTCAGATGCTCAAACAGAAATACAACGGTGGAGATTCACAGCAGACCAGACAGAACCAGACGAACCACAGTGATCCAGACAATCTGAAAGAGAAGATAAATCATATAGATTTAAAGTTATTCGTAAATAGTACTGTCATTCAGTGGCTTTGGCTTTAGTTATTGTGGCAGGATGAGAGTTCTGTGGTAAATGTAGTTTGACTTCTCGTACCTTCCTGTCCCAAACAGATCTCTTTCATGTGAAGATGGACAATGTTGTTGCTCACTGGATTCACAGCCGTGCAGCTGTAGATCTCTGGATCATTATAATGAAGCTCTAATGCTAAACTGAGGTTGATGCTGAGATCAGGATTGTGGGTCTGGTTCAGCATTTCTCCTCCTTTATACCACGAGATGAACACGCCTCGATCATTTTTCACAGAACACAACACAGAGCGGAACTCCTCTATTGACTGTGGCTGCTTTAACGTACCTGGAAGAGATTTGTTTAGACCTTTTTATTTTCTGGCATAATTTTTTGTCCATATGTGGAAGCTGTAGAGCGTGGGTGCCATTTCTTTTGTAAACAATGTTTTAAAATTTTTCATTAGACAGGGAGGTAGTCTAATATATTGTATTTTGGTTTGATAGGGAATCTGTTGACTCACCTTGAGTTTGGTTCACACTAACAAGAGACCTGATGACAGGCACAGAAACAGGCCCTTTAAGAGAAAACACTTTGAGGTGGAATTTGCAGGAAAAACAAAAATGCAAGATGAACAATGTATGAATGTTTGCCAGTGACTGCTGACACAATATAATGAACAATGAAATGAGAAATGATAACTGACTCAGATCTAATAGTGGCTTCTGAACTAATTATTGCATAGATATGCTGTATACAAGTCTACTTTGTTTTCGCTGTTGTCTTGAATGTATTAAATAAACTGTATTTTTTATTTTATTTGTGACTTTAGAGTAAGGTGACCAGTTTTATGAAATGGAAACAGGGACATTTCCAAGTTCAGTGATCAAAATATCATTAAAGTCTCACTTGTTATCCATGAATTAACATAACATTTCTCTCATGGACATTTTCCAGCTGTTTTGAATATATATATATATATTTTTTTTTTTTTTTTTTTTTTTTTTTTTATCAGCTTTTCAAACTCATCCTAGGCTGTTACTTGACTCACATGAAACTTGGCACACTTCATGCCCAGGCCCTCATGACAAAAAGGACTAATGACGCTGAAAAAATTTTTCCAGACATGAATTAATGTATTGCTGTCCAATTAAATTGAAAAGACAATATTGCCAAACAGACATCCCCTCATTTTCCTGAATATTGCTGATATTTGTTTTCTGTTTCTTATGAAGCTAAATCTTACCATAAACATCTACTCTGAACTTTTTCTCTGAGACAGATCCACTGTGGAGAGAAACCTGATAAAGTCCAGAATCACTGCTGCTGATGTTCCAGATGGTCAGAGCTCCAGTCTTTGGGTTCATTTTCACTCTGCTGGTTAGTGTTTCATCATAAAAGGGTTCATAACCCTGATACATCTGTGCGATACGAACAGTTTGATCACCTCGTTTAAACAGCCATGCTACTTCACTGAGACTCTCAGTGTCTCTTGTTTGCAGAGTGAGAACATCTCCCTCCATCACAGTCTTTAACTCATCCCACTCGCCATTCACAAGATCTGAAAGAATATTAAAACGGGTTAGATATGAGTGACATTTAGTGCTAGAATATATACAGATCTCAACTACCCATGTGCAGAATAAAATACTACCATATTACTTGTACTATTTCTGTAGTATTTCTTTTCTGTATGCATAAAATACCTGTTAAACTGACATTTGTTAAGTGATTTACAATGACAGATGAACACTGAGGAATAATAACAATTGATTTGTAAAATTTTTCTAGATTTCTTTCTAGTTAAACATACAATATAGTGAGGTAATGACAATGATTTTTGAAACTTTATTGTTGCATAATTAAATATAATTTTACATGGTGTATAAAAATGACTGTACAGTCATGCATTCTGTATGTAGAGACATTTTATGCATTTTTATAACAATCGCTGGCAGACCCATTTCTCAATATTTAGGCCACTTTTTCTAAACCCTTTACACAGTGAGCACAGCATCAGTCTATCTGTGCTAAACTCTGGATCATTCATCATTGCTTTGACACAAAATACACTCAGTGACTACATCTGTCAAATTACATTAATTGTTTTCTCACTCAAAGCCAAAACTTGATGAACCTACAGGCCAGTTTGCACTTTCTCATGCTCTTTTCATAACTCTTAAACTTAAGATCAAAACCTAACACAATATAAAACTGAATAAGACAGAAATTTGGTATATTTCTAATATTGAAAAATATTTAAATAAAAAAATAAAAGTGAAATTATATCAAAATTATAAGATGTAGTGGAACACCTACACATGATAGTCTCTCAATTTTATTACTATTTTACTATTATTTTAAGTTGCAACAATATGGAAAACTAAGGAATAATTTTGTACTGTAATGTAAACTTGGACTATGTAACATACTGCAGTGAATTCTAAACAGTAGAGAGCTGTCATTCTTGTTTTGTAGAGACAAAAATTGTGTGAAGATTTTAGGTGTGGTTAAGTTTGTTGATGGC